TAAACTTTAAACAATATGATTGCATGCAAGCATATTTATTGATTTTAATTTTAAAATTTTAAGCGATATATATATAAATAAATTGACTTTTTTGATATTTAATAAATAATGAAAATGTTGGACAAACTTGCATCATTAAATATGAATAACGATGATGGCGATAATAAAAATAAAAATAATAAAGACATCGAAATCATAACAATATTATTAGTTGGAAGTACGGGAAGTGGAAAATCAACTCTAGCAAACGTACTCAGTGGTTCTGAAGATTATGATACAAGCCATCGTTCAGTTAGTTCAACCAAAGATACTAATTCTCGTAATTATGCGGTCAATGGAAAAATATACAGAATAATCGACACTGTAGGAATTGGAGACAGTAGGATGCCACCAAAGGAAGTAGCAAATAAATTAGTTATGGCTGCTGAAGCTATTAAGTGCGGAATTAATCAGATTTTATTTGTTGCCAGTGGAAAATTTACTGATGTAGAAATCGAAGCTTTTGAAACATTGCAAGAAGTTGTTTTTGATAAAAAAGTTTTTGATTATACTACTATCGTTAGAACGAAATTTCCTGATTTTGAAGATGATGTTGAGTGTGAAAAAGATTATCAAGATACAACTTGTGTGGATGATAAACTTACTCAACTTGTTGAATCATGCCAAAATGTTATTCATGTAGATAATCCACCAATAACTGGTCGGTTTGAAGCGGTTGGTAAAGAGTGCAGAGAAGAATCAAGAAAAAAAATATTAAATTACTTGGATACTTGCACAAATGTTTATATCCCAGAAAAGTTACAAGAAACTATGAATGAAAAGGTAGGAAATTACATGACCAACAAAGAAAAATTACAGCAAGAAGTAAACGATTTAGAGGAAAAAGTCAGGAAATTACAAGAAAAAAGTTGTATTATTTCATAAAATGTTTATTTATTTTAAAAATTTATATTTTAAAAAATAAAATTTCGATCTAGAATAAAAACCTTCATTCTGCTAAATCTATTTAAAAATAAACATACTGTAATTTCCCTCCCTATTTGAATTAGTATTGTACCAACAATATATATATATATATGCATACATTTCTTTTTCTAATTTGTTGGAATGTTTATCAAAAAAAAAAAAAATGGCATCTTCAAATACAAATGAAAATATTTTTGAAAATGATAACATATCAGCATCGAGCGAAAATAAATTTAACATGTCTTCGAATGCAAATGAAGAAGCAAATGAAAAACCTGATAACGAAGAAGTTGAAACTATAAAAATATTATTATTTGGTAGAAAAGGAAGCGGAAAGACGACTTTAGCTGATGTAATCAATAATGCCAATAATATGAAGCAATTGATACAGGTGGGATTGGTGATAGAAAATTAACCTCACAAGAAATATTATATAAAATTGCAGAAACTACCGATGATGATGATGATGATACAGTAAATGATTTTTCTGGTGAAGATGAAGAGGTATTAAATAATATACAGAACCAATTTCTGGATATATGTGAAATCATGGATTTAAATAATGAAGTATTTTGTGATAGTAATGCTGAATCTTCAGTTGAAACTAATCAA